GGGGGGCAAGGTGAACCACGGCAAACATGGAAAGTGAGTCAGAAGTCTTGGAGGAGAGCCTGCATAGTAAATCAGAGGAATACTTGCACCCTTCTGAAATGGACAGAACCATTAGTGTGCAGGATGAAGGAGAGGATTCACTTTGTGTTATGAAGAGGGTAGACATCAAGACAGCAGCCAACTTGAGAAAATACAGGCTCACATTATTTGATCTTTGCTGTTATGGTTCGGTTTTACCCTAAAAAAAACTGCGGCATTTTAATGAGTTAGTGGGTTTGTGTGTGTATTGTTCACCTTATCTGGCAAAGAGTCCAGCTGGCAGCCAAACAGAACAATCGACCAGAGCAGAATCAAAGTGGTTATGAGAGATTTGCAGACGTTTTAAATCAAGCCGGACAATCGTCTCCTCTTACATCTCCCGTAATGAGAGAGATTATAGCAGATCAAGCCTCTGAATCTATCCCGTTCCAACATAAATCATAAGAAGACATGGAAGATTCAATTAGTCCTGCTCGCTTAACCTTGGCAGCAAGGAAATTGCACCAAACCAAATACCCTGAGCTCAGAATGAGAGGTATTTACAAAAGAGATTCGAGGAGGCGGGCTGTACCAGTAAATAGAAAGAAAAAAAAACTAATAACCACGGCCAAAAAGAAGGGAGGGGAAATTGTTATTAGATAAACAGTGAACAAAAGCAGCAGTGCAGCGGAGGATCTTTTGCATCAATGGCTTATGAGCAGAACCTGGATGCTACTTTCAGGCCACCCATTTGTTCCAGTCCCAGCCAAAGTAGAAATCCTTCAGCATACAGTACAATGTGGCTATTGAGCTCCTGGAGCAGTGATACAAATCTATTCTTATTACAGCTTGTGTGTATCCACAAGGATCCAAGAAGGCATTCTGTTATGGATTACCTTCATCATGGCATAACGAGCCGCTGCACAAACAGAATAAGAAGAAACAAGAGTTGTTTTTCGACTTAAGGCGCTCCTACGCTGCATTTGTTATGCTTTGGTTCGTTATTTTGCTTCATCTGAATGAGTCTTTCAAGTCTACAGAGCATTGAACATGTATGTTGCTGTCACCTTTCACCAAGCCTTCGTTTAATCAAACTACAAAGCTTTCGGTCGCTTCATTAGAAGACAGAACTGGGCCACAGATGATTGAGGAAACATTTGGACTTGAAATAGAAACTTTCTGGGTGGAGATCAGATTCGGTTTTCTGACCAAAAGAAGTGACAAGTACCGTAACTGGCATCTCTTTTGAGTTCCAAACACTAATGAAAATAGGATTAGACAGTAGCATATGCATGTTTCTTTATTTACAGTCGGGAACCACTGGAACATCAATTCGACCACACACGTGACACGCACACACTTTCCACTCGCAGAAAGTAAAAGGCCCTTTGCTCTGAGCGTTGTAATAAAGAGGGACATCCTCAGAGATGCTGTGATAACCGAGGACTCTTTAAGACTCTTTGAAGCGGAGGAAATACATTAAGACTATGGTTTGTGTTGACGGCTTTAATCTTGTTCTATCTTAAAACATGCCCATTTAAAAAAGATTAGTATTGTTTGACTGAGATTGAATTGCCCAGCCTTTAAGAAGACACAGAGGGAAAAGCCAAACTAAGTCCTAATATTGGACCCTCTTACGGGAAAGGAGCTTTCTTTCTGCCAACAGGGCACTGATTGTAGGTCTGCTGAAGTCAATTACTCGTTCGAGTGGCAGCATACTGTTCGCATTACAATCGCCATGTTATGCTGTTTATTGCTGCGTATGTTCCATGAGAACATGTCACTGCCTTGCACTTGTGGGCAGCAGATGAAAGGCGAAGCAATGTGTTACTGTACTCCTAAAGAGAGGTTCAATTATTCCAAGCCTGCATGTGAAGATGTTCTGGTCCAAATTCAGCATCAAGCCATCCCTGACAATCCTCTCTGAAATCCATCAGCCTCTGAGATGCTGCATCTATCTGCCTTCCAACAGTTCTCACAACACTGCTCATGCAAAGCAACTGTGTGTGCTTGATCAGTGTTGTCATGTGACGCTTGGTTAACTGCCTGTGATGTTTTACATATAACACCTACCCTGGCAGCGTGCACTTTCCACAAGCTCCACTTTATCAATCATTACTGGAGGAGTGCATGAACAGAGGCCCTCGGCAGTAATTTTGGTGGATCACTTCGTGCGTGCTAAGGCAGTTGTGATCTACGTAAACACTGAACACTTACAGATGGGTATTATTAAAAACAGGTGATGAAGATTCGAAGAAGAAGTGGGTTTATGGCAATCAGAATGCTGTACTGTAATTCAAAGATAACACACTGTAACGCATACGTTTGGCACCTTTTAGTTGAAACGTTTTTTGCATTTGGCTTGCAAAACTCCTTGATGCCAATAAGATTAAATTGGTGGTTTACAAAACCTAAAATCTTTTAGTTATGATGTTTAAGATTTTAATGAAATAAAAAAAAAGTATTTATGGTTCACATCTGCTATAGCCATTATGTGTATTTACAGTCTGTAATTACTATGTTTTCGTGGCAGTCAACCATTCCCATGATGGATTAAAATTGATAGAAAAAATATTCTGGGAGACTATAAGCTCTGTTTTGCAATTCTGTCTGAGTAAGTTGATGCGACCATAGTTTGATTAGCAAGTTATTTATAACCTGAAGCTAACACAGACACCCTAATAACCTCAGCTTGGTAATTGGGGGGTGCAACAATTCAACAAATCAAAGTGCTTCTGCTGGATTAAAGCCTGAAGTACAGCTGCCTCGATTCAGACAGCTTGAATTGCAACAAGGTCGAGAAGGAACCACAGCTGAAGGGATGCAGAGTATTGGAAAATTATAATATGGCAGCCATTTCTTCTGTTTCTTTTTGTGCCAAATCATGGCATTTACTGCATGTTGACAACAAGTTCCTTTTAGGTGAATAAATCATTTTCTGGCACTCATCCTAGCAAATGCTCACAAACGTCTCTGTGATTCAGTCTAATTGTCCTGATCAATTAATATATAGAACAGAAAATCTATCAGAAATGGCAAGAGTCCTCTAGTTTAGAAACTTCCAGTGACATATCCAGATTGCAGCAGAGTATCTCTCATTCCCCTTTTCACCTGCAGACAGCATTAGCAAACATGAGAGGTATCCTGCTTCAGCTGTGGCCAGAACTCATTATTATAGCCACTGCATTTAACATAGCAACAAGGAACTATTAATACAACCAGAGGGGCAAAAGGGAAGGAGACCTCTGCCTAGGCAAAAATGCAATATTAAAAAAAGCGAAGATTATTTGTGTATTTGTAACCCTGCAAAAATGTTTGTGTTATGTCTTGAACCCTTGAAACACCTTCCACAAATATTTGAAAAAATAAGTTTTTCGTAACCCAGCAAACAAAACAAGAAGAGGCCATAGTGTAGGTTGTAGTCATTTGAATCAGACTCTCTGGATGTTATATTTTGTATTACACCACATTGCGTTAAATATGTCATCATGCATCAGGCATATGCCGCACACTTTACTGACCCCATGGGGAAAGTATATGAATTCTCCCTACTGCTGATGCACCAAATGCCTCGTTCTGCTCCATAACTGGAAGTGTCTATTCCCTGCAGCTCCAGCCTCTATATTCAAAGGTTTTTCACCGTTTCCAATAAAGCTTGGGAAACTTTGTTCAGACTTGGCCTTAGCCCAAAAAGGAAAAGTTCTGTAATGCATGTACACAGTGGAAGGGACAAGGCCTCCCCCCTGCCGCCTCCATACCCCAGTTACAGATGGTGAGACCCCGCTTGTCAGGCTCCCCGGTGCCAAAGCGCTGCCAGGGAGGCCCCTTTGATAATGAGCCTCACACACACAATTTACAGCCACACTACAATACTCCTGCAACAATTTTTTCCACATAACTTTTGATTGAATGTGCCTTTATTGGCAGAACCAGGCTTGAACCGGGCTAATAACTGGGCCTTGGCGGGCTTTGACAACGTTTTACCTCATTTCACTGTGAACGTGACACAATGCATATTTCATACATCTTGACACAGCAACATTATTTTAACAACGCGTCTGACATAACT